CAAATGATAGGTAAAGACATCAAGCATCTATATAAAAAAAAATTATATTGATATGTTTAGTTTTGAAAAAGTTACGACACATTTTAGTAAAAAAAATTGAAAAAATTTCGAAAATTAGCGATTTTTAAATTTGTAATTTTTTTGGAGGTTTCCCCCATTTACGGGGAACGAGGGAAATTTTTTCAATTTTGAAGGGTAATGTCTTCGACTAGATACAATTTGTGATCTTTTGACGTATCGTTGAAAGAAATCCGTTCAGTGAGAGCTGAGAAAAAGTGGTAACAGACACAAAAAAAAAAAACACACACATCATAGTAAAACCAATATCTTCTCAGCTTCGCATCGAAGCTAAAAATGTCAAAATTAACTAATATTAAAAATCAAATTTTTTTGTGGAATTTTCCTCATTTACAAAAAATAAGGTAGTTTTTAAGGGCAATGACTTCAACCAGATATGATTTCTGTTCTTTTGACGTATGGTTGAAAAAGACGCCAGCTGGAAGCACACCTGTAATTAAAAACCTCTATTNGAAAGCACACGTGTAATTAAAAACCTCTGTTACAACACAACCAGGCGTTTAATGGAATTGTCTTGTTCGTGTTAACGCCATATTCTATAGAAGACATTATATGTTTGTGCATACAAACCTAAATATCGAAATTTGAGGTCTATTCAAAAAGTATTCTGCATTTTTATAGGCATATCTAATAAACAATCATTGATAACTAATATGTTATGTAACATAAAAACAAAAAATTAGTCTTTATAAAAATTTAATGATACACAATTTATTTTAAAGTTCTAGTGATACTATTAAAAGATTTAGACAATAATTTGGTAACTTACGTTTCATAACTATGATAGTTTTGACTTTTTAGTTAAAAAGTGTGTATTTTCTAAGATCTCAAATTATTATAAGAGAACAATGGATACAGTAATATAAAGAAGGTGTATTAAGTTACAAAAAAAATTTGATCTAAAGTAATTGATTTAATAATGAAAAAATATTTCTGTATATTTTATAATCATGCAAGACATAAAAATGAGTTGCTTTACAATTGCATTAATCCTATTTAAAAGAACATATAATGTTTTTTTTTGAGGGGGGAGGGGGCATATGTTAGTAGCCTGCTCGAGACCGCCCATGCAAACTGTATTTTACCTTAGAGACCGTGACCAATAGCCAACATCGATCGCACATCCCATAATGAGTACAATATCAAAACATGTTCTTTTTAAGGTAGGTTTTATTAAAACTAACCTACTTTGTAAAATTAATTCAATATATTGGTTTGATAATAAGCATTTTAAAAATAGACTAAAATAATACTTCTTTATTTTTCTAGTCATACCAGTTTTTAAAACAAAAAAACTTCTCATAAACATATAAATTTATTAAAAACAAATATAGTAACAAAAAATTTTTAGAGAAATAAAAACAAATGTAAGAAAAAAAAATGTATAACAATAAAATTAATTAGGTAAAAGACAAGAAACGAAATTTGTACAGTTCGTATTTTTTTCTTTGTATAAAAACAAATTATAAAATAACGATAATTTAATGATTTTAATAGGGATAATAAAAGGAACATAAAGTTTTAAAAGTATAACAAATTTCATTACATGAAATAACTTGGGGAGGTAACTCAATTAAAAATGTTGTTCGATACTGTTTGATGGATTATAAAATAATTTTAAACTATTAAAATTTTATTTGTGTTCTGAATGTTCTTTAGAATCAGAATCAGAACTAGAATCAGAGCTAGAACCAGAATCACTACTAGAATCAGAACTTGAAGAAGAATCACTACTAGAATCAGAACTTGAATCAGAATCACTACTAGAATCAGAACTTGAAGAAGAAGAAGAATCAGATTCAGAATCAGAATCGTCCGAAGAATTTATTTTTGAAATCTTTAAGACTATTCTGTCTTCCAATTCATCAGGTTGGGCCAAGTAAATCTCAACGCTACTCGAGTATTTGAGTCTATTCGATGATTTACATGCGTCGAGAGCGTCTGTAGACCGTGTTGTGTTAGAGAAAAGTCCTGTTGAATTTTAAGAAATAAAATGCGAATTAAAATATTATTATTATGAATGTTTTCATTAAAGTGTATAAATCAATTTTTTACCATCGCAATCATAGTCAGTTTCTGAATCGTTTTTATTTTTCGATTCGTCATCTGAATCAGATGTTGAAGATGTGGCCCTTATTTTCAACACTACTCTATTTTCTTTGTATTTACTCGAGTGAAACTCTACACAGCTTGAGTATTTACACCTCTTCGATGGCTCATATCCATCAAATGTATTTGCCCTTTTCAACGATTGTGAACTATTACATAGTTCAGTCGACTTAACCGAATTAGTAGGATGTATATCCATATTTTCGTAACCTGATAAATATTAACAAATTAAGCATGACTATTATTGTAAAAAATAACAAATATAGCCGACGATTAAAAAAATTTTATTTCATACTTTTTTGACGTTCAACTACATAAGTCTCATCGTCATGTTCGACTTTTCTTTTCGTAGATGATTCGTCAAATTGTGTTGAAAACAGTTCTACGAGTATTTCGTGAGGGTCCTTCCAATAAGATGCACGTGATCGGTCAATTTTTTCTATTATTTCTTTGGCGAACGGTTCATAGTTTTCTACTGGAACTGCTATGGATCGAGTAGATTTGCGGTACGAACGCTTAGGCATGTCTTTTGCTGTAGTTTTAATATTGGATTCAATTTTAGGATTGTCACTCAAGNCGATTATTTCTTTGGCAAACGGTTCATAGTTTTCTACTAGAACTGCTATGGATCGAGTAGATTTGCGGTACGAACGCTTAGGCATGTCTTTTGCTGTAGTTTTAATATTGGATTCAATTTTAGGATTGTCACTCAAGCACTTTTTTTTATTGACAGGAGCCTGTTTCTTAAACGGAATTGTAGGTTTTCCACGCAATTTTTTGAGCTGGGCAAACAATTTTTGCGTCTTTGTGCTCATCGTTACAAATAATTTCAATAATTAAAACTTGAAAATGTCAACGACGTTAATTTTGAGAATAATTAAAAAAATTGATGATAATGTTGAAAGTCAAAAAATTCTCAAAGATAACCTGAGAGTAAAAATGTTTGCTAATTTACAAATAAAAAATTTTATCCATAGAAACTATTAACAGAAAACTTAATTAAATATTTTTTTTTTAAATATTTGGAAACGTACAAAAATTGCTTGTTTATTTTTCTTAGTAACATGTATGGAACAGCTTTAATTGAATAATAAAGTGCTATGTATTAGTAGATTATTTCATTAAAATTTCAATTTAATATTTTGTGATTATGTAAAAAATTGATTTATAAAATAATTTAAATACAATTCTTTTGTCTACAATCAAATAATTCGTGAAAAATCCAGACAAAGGGAGTTGCTTTTAAACAGCCGTATTATCATAAATTTTCTAAGAAAAAGAAAAACCCAATTGTCTAAACCATGTGGACTTTATGTAAAATTTAATTAAATTTTTCCATCGGATTTTTAAGAAATGGTTTAACTACATTTTCTCGAAAAAAATAAAAAAGTGATTTTTGTGAACTTGATAATTATTTCTTGTAATTATGTAGGTAAGTTGAATATAATGAGAGAACCAGAACAGGATTTAGGATTAGAATAGTATACTATTGTAACATTACTCTTGTTTTTTATGTATTTTTGAAACATTGCAGAAATTATGCTATGGAAAAAATGCCTTTTAGTTATAAAATAATTCATTCTCGCTTATAGTATTCAATTTTCCAACACTAGGTAGATATTAATCTAATTTTTCTTCTTCGATTTTTACTCAAAATATGATACATGACAATTTTTTCTCGAGAGTCTGTAATACCATTGATATTCATTCGTGATCTATATAAATACTAGTAGTTAGATTAGTGTCCATAATAACCAATTGTTTTAAGAATTTTTATTTACATTAGGAATTTCTGTCAACTATTAATATTAAAAAAAAAATACGTATTATAACTGATATTTCTAATAATTCTGCATTTCAAACATTGTAATAAATGTTACAAGGAACAACTTAACCTTTATGTGACTGAAAAAAAGAACAACTTCTTATGACGGTGTAGGTACCCGGGTACTTACAATATAGTTATCTGTGCTTTTCCGGTAAATTATTTCATTGTCGTCAGTCTATCGCTTTTATATCTTATTATATGTAATTCTTCTCGTATCTGGTGTACATAGATCTAATAAAGAACATGTATCAGAAATGTGGAAATTAGACTCGTTACCTCTCATTCGAGCTGCAATGTCTCGAGATCGATTCAAAATGTTGCTAAGGTTTATTCGTTTTGATAATGTAAACACTCGTAATATACGTATTACAACAGACAAAGCTGCACCGATTCGTGATATTTGGACATGCTCAATCAAAACTTACATAAAAATTATAAACCTACAGAAAATATAACAGTAGACGAACAATTATTTCCTTACAGAGGACACACAAAATTTACACAGTACATTCCATCTAAATCTGCAAAATATGGAATAAAGGTTTTTTGGGCTTGCGATGCAGCAAATGCTTACCCTTTGCATGGTAAAATTTACACAGGCAAATCACAAGATGGTAAACGTCAAGTAAATATTGGTGAACGTACAGTTCTAGACTTAGTTGCGATGTATAAAGGTTCTGGACGAAATGTGACTACAGACAACTTTTTTACAAGTATGCAATTGGCTACTACATTAAACTCTTGGAATATGACATTGGTTGGTACTGTCAGAAAAAATAAAAGATTCTTGCCTCCCAAAATGCTTCCATCAAAAGCCAGAGCATTACATTCTACAAATTTTGTATTTAGAAAAGATTAAACTGTTTGTTCTTATGTTCCAAAAATAAATAAATCGGTTATTCTTTTATCTACAATGCATATGACAGCCGACATAATGCAAGCTGCTACCGCTAAACCAGAAATTATAAAATATTATAATCTGACAAAAGGAAGAGTAGATACAATGGATAAAATGTTAACAGAATACACAGTAAAGCGAAGAACTAATCGTTGGCCACTTGCATTTTTTTTCAACATGATTGATATTGCTGCTTTATCTGCATATATTATATATATGGAACACAATCAAAGGTTTAACACAACTGATCGACGCCGAAAATTTTTAAAAGAGCTTGCAAATTAGTTATGTATGTCTGCAATAGAAATTCGAACCTCCATACCTAAAGTAGTAGGAAATCGATATACTCGTAATTCAATGGAAATGGTTCTCGGACGGCCAATACAACAGACAATTGTTATTCCTAAAAATGAACCACCTCGTGATGCTTCAGGACGTATTCAAATAGTTGGAAGTTGCTTAGTATGTCGAGAATTGGGTTATAAGCAACGGAAAACTCGAAAAGCTTGTTCAACTTGCTCAAAGCTTATTTGCAATGAACACTCAATAAACAAATCATTTTGCGAAACTTGCAATCAATAAAAAACCTAAATATGTTATAATACTTACTAAATATGTAAAAAATAACATTTTTGTTCTCTTAATATTTGTATCTATTTTATTGATGTCCAGTAAAAATATTTATCAATGGTAATTTAACTTTTTTTTGTATCAATAAAACCTACATTTAAATACAATATATAGAGGTACCCAGGTACCTACTACGTCCTTATAAGGTGTAAAATTAACAACGCTATTTTAAGTATAATAAATTATATACTTTTCAAATACAAAATATAAATTTGTTAACTATACATGCTATTTAGAGATGTCACAGAAGGACTAACCATACATACTAAATATTTAGAAGGAAAATAAATTTAAAAACTGAAAAGGTACCCGGGTACCTTTCCAGTCACATAAGGGTTAANAAAAACTGAAAAGGTACCCGGGTACCTTTTCAGTCACATAAGGGTTAAATATATGAGATATTTAATTTAAGCAAAAAAAAAAATATTAAAGTGTATCAAAGTAGAAAATTTAATTAAATGTAATAGTAACATTGTAGAATTTAAAGAACAACGATTTTGATTATGAATTTCCAACGGAAAATAAACAATTATTTACTAATAATACTTCTTTAAAAGTAAAAATAGTTATTTTAAACTCAAGAGGGCGAAACATAGCCTTTTCCCGAATACTACATCAATAGCGGCACAGTTGGTCTTGCATTGAAAGCATTGAAGATGCTGAAACTGTCTATGTAATAATAATTTTTTAATTGCGTTCTAGATCTTTAAAGTTCTATTTGTTATTTTAATAATGTGCAATAAAATATTTTTTAATTCAATACATAAAAAAGTTAATTTTATTTGTAGTATTCTTTCAGTTATTTTAGAAAAAGTAAGTATTTTTCTATACACGAAAATTCTTACAAAACATTTAGAAAAATTAAAATAAAGCATTATTATTAGAAGCAACCGCTTGCTAAATGGTAGCCTGGTCACACTGTACTTACAGTCTACAATTACAAAATTTACTCATAAATTTAGTTTTTAAAATATCATCATCAATCATTTTTACAGACTTATTTAGAATTATAAATATATATAACAATAAGTGGTCCTATACATTTTTCTAGGAAGGATATTTTTCATAAATTTTGATGAGTCAGCACTTTTTTAATTGACGAATTTTTTTTTGTTGTAAAATTTTTTAACTACAAAAAATATTTAAAAATAGATTTTTTCTGATTAGTTTGTATGAAAACTAACTATTCAAATTATAAACATTGTGCTTTTATTTTTATTATCAAGATCCTTCAGGTTTAAGATAAAGTAACTCATTTTTTTTTTTTATTCTTATTTCATATAAACGGTTGCATTAAATTGCAATTGATTTTTGTTGAGCCTGTAATTTTAGTTGGAGCCTATGTATACAACTGAAAAATTACAAATTAAAGCATAAATTTATTAATTTTGCATATTTTTATAAATGTATGAATTACATATTTTTATTTAAATAATATATATTTTTGCTTTATAAAAATTAAGTCAAAAATTATTTGGAGAATACTTTTTATTTTTTAAAGAAAATTAGCATTATAGTTCAGTTATTTTAAGAGAATCCGGTCTTTAATTATTAATTTAAGACCACATGAGGCACAATTACTAAATGAGGTACAAGCCACAAGATAAATGTTATTTATCTGCTTTACCATCATTAATTTTAAATACAGTAGTAGTAGCCAAAACATAGGAAGAATATTGGTAAAACTGATATTGAATATCGATCGATATTATTGACCATATGGGAAGAGCGGCTATCGATTTTTTTGAACCGATAGTAGACCCAAAATTGCCCCCTACCCGAAATAAAAGTAAAAACCAACACGGTATAATTTTTAATTTATATTTACCTATCATTTTATATATTTTTGTGAACATTTGACCCTTTAACAGCCCACAGGAAGGCTTTCAAAATGGTAACTTTTTTACAAAAAATTAACTTTTTCAACTTAACTGAAAGACTAAAAGACTGACACTTTTATATATATCCTAAATTAAAACTTATGTAATATACTTTAATTTGAAAAAAAAAAATTGACCTCTGGATTTGTCTTCATGGTAAAAATGACTACCGTATTCAAAAATTTGCTATTTTTGTGTTAAAATTGTGGGTTGTATTTTATTTTATTTTAAAATACTTGACAAGGGGAGTACAGATTTTCATAAATATTATATAAATAAAAAATTAATATAGCATAGAAAGTAAAACTTATTTAAATTTGTTTACTTCTTTTAAATCAAGAAAAATAACTTTGTAATTTGAACTAGCATAAATAGCCAATTTTTTTCATAGATTGGTAGCGACTTACGGTTGCCTAGTTGGTAGAACTTGTGTATTACAAGCTTAGAGTACGAAGTTCCAACACGCACGTTCCCATGAATTTTTTGCATTTTTTTAAAAATTTTTTTTAAGTTAGTATAAATTTTTAACTCGTTTGATTTTTATCTCATTTAGATTCAATAACTTCAATAAAGATCAAAGATCCCATCACTATAGTCGCCCCTTGCAAGAAGAAATTTCTTATTCGTATTAAAATTATTTTACTATATTTTAAGTTTTCGCTTCGATGCAAAGCTGAGAAGATATTTTTTTGTGACTATCATATTTTCTCTGCTCTAACTTGACCTACTTTTTTCAACAATACGTCAAATGACTACAATTCATATCTATTTATTGGTTATTTTAGTTAAAGTAAAACATTAAAATTAATTCAGTTCATATTTCAATTGTAGTATCTTCTTAAACACCAAAAGTTACTATAAAATGATTACTATTATTAAAAATAGGTTAAATATGTCATTTTCCTTATTTTTAACATATTAATAATCAAAATCAGTATTAATTTAAAACAATTTTTTTTGTTCTTAATTATTTCTTAATAATAAGTAATAATATTAAAATTTAGATGGAAAAAGTCTAATTGCACATATAAAGTACATCGCAAAAAGTTGATTTAGAAAAGTAAATTTTTGCTTCTGATGAAAGTTCCTTGTAGTCCAATGCAGTAACAAACAATTTTAATTGAAGAATATTGTATCAAGCCCTTTAAATTTTTATACACGTAAAAGTAAAGCAAAATATAACTTTTTCATTATTTTATAATTTCTCCGTATAAATTACAATATTAAATTACTGGATATCAATTGTATACTAAATTTAATAATTATAATTAGTATTTATTCATATATTATGTTTTAAAATCAAAGACCTACTAATCAGGATATAATCAAAGAAATAAGAGTTAGAGTTAAGTTGCTTTTGGAATAATCCACCAACTTCTCTAAATGAAACACTATCTACAGATTTGCATCGAAGCGTTTCTTACGACAGTGATTTTAATTACTGTCAGATATCATCTATACTTGTCCCATCTATGCCTCATCCACACTGTGCCTCGACACCACTGTGTTACCGTTTTACAATTAAATATAATAAATGTTGGTATTGTGCGAATTAGACATTATTCGGTGGTTTATTTTTCAAAGAAAGATGGGTTACTGTATATAATATCAAAAGTATTCTGCTAAAATATGTATATTATAATGAAAACATATCAATGTCTTATAAAAAGTATTATCTGATACATTTTTTTATTTTCCGGATTTTAAAAATATTAGATGTATATTAATATCTACTATTTTCCCTATCTCAAAGATAGAGTAAATTTAATTGTTGTTAATTGTATTTTTTTTTTATTTAATGGAAATAAAATAAAAACAATGATTAAATATTAAGTTTTTTAATTTATTTTGTTTTCCATTATTTGTATTAATTAATATTTTTATTTTTTCTAATACTAGTGTATTGAGCGGGAAACCCATCAAACACATGGGTATATAAAAAGTTTAGGGCTAAAATATAGTTCTTTAAAAATTATAAAATAAAAAAACTTTTTCTAAGATCACGAGTTTATTGTATAGGATTTCAATTATATATTGTTTCATATAAATATATAACTCATACAATCAATTGCTATGAACGAACTATGTACATATATTATTCACACGAACTATCATTATTTAATAACACTACACAAACATTTATGATGTTAATAACATGAATACAAGTAACAATAATATAATATTCTATAATTTTCTTCTTTAAAAAATAAATTTATGAATACAAAATTACAATAATTTATCATTTCCATAATATATTTATACAAAAAAAAAATGTGACGCTTATATAATATAAAATTAATAATTAGTGAGCTTTGTTTTTTCTGTATTCTCGATCACAATCAATATTTAATAGTGTGAAAAATAAATATATTCTCTAATTAAAATATTATTAAAACAAGTAAATATCTAAATTTTGTATAATTGGCATTTTTAGCCGATAGATTTTATTTCAAAAACCATGTAAAATTTGTAGATTGAGACAAACCCACGGCTTTGTATAAAAAAAATGTTCACAAAAAAAAAAAAAAAAAAAAGTTAAAAATAAATCGATTACAAATAATCGATATACATGAATATTAATAATAAAATAACATGTAAAGAAGTGAACGTGTTTATGAATGACAAATAAGATACTCTATTAAATGTAAANTACGAAATTACTAAACAATAATCAGTCTAAATTTAAATAGAATTAAAATATGATATTAATTAAATACACGTGGAATGTGCCGTATCCAATTATAAACATACAAATGCATCAATAGTTCATAAAACAAATTAAATATTAAAAAAATTAACAAAATATATATTTTACTAAGACCGTAGAGCACCATGGGGGGTGAATTTTGGACAGATATGATTGGGTAGAAAGTACGAGTGGTATAAACAACAATATGGCAAACATACTATTAATTTTACAAAAAATAAACTGCAGATTTATCACCATGGCAAAAGGTCATACGGCAAACAGAGTAATGACGTAGAATTAAATTGGAAACATGGCCGTTTGTCCATTTATGTGACCGATAAATCAGGTTGGGATAAGTCGATGGAGTCACAGTCGACCAGCTGCTGTCTTCTAGAGCTTGCACTGGTAGCCACACTGCTCTCGATACTGTCAAAGAACTCAATGCTCACATTATTGTCAACCAATGATTCTGGGGGCTCTTGCACCTCGTCCAGGGCTGGTAACAGAACAGCCGTTTTCTCCAGTATCCTGTTTTGCCGTACCAGATTGCGTCGTCTGAATAACGGCTGATGTCTTTTCTACGTTACACACAATAAAACAAAATTAATTAATCATGTTTCTAAGTGTTAATAAAAAATGTGTCAACAAAATTGTCGAAAATGAAAAGAGGAAATAATCATGAAGTTGCTATTTTATTGCGCCAGGTTACGAAGTGCACCGTGTTATAAATTAATAATTAGTGCGTGTAGAAAGTTATCGGTCGGTCACGGGTGTTGGGTGCATGCGGTTACAAAGGAAATCATTATCATTACCATCATCTATACATTAAGAGTAATTGATTTAATTGCTTTTGTCAGTGGTGTTTACTTTTAGTTATAATTTCACTTTTCCAATATTGTTCATTAATAAAAATTTCTGTGAGACTAGAGTGGCGGCTAGCAAAAAGTAAATCTATAAGCTGGCAAGAAAAAAAAATAGTTGAAACCAACCGGTAATTTGTACCAACATAAGACAAGCGCAGAGTTCACTTGTCCAAGTTAAAAAAATCCATTAAATGTGGTTTCTAGCACAGAAATAGTCATTCCGAGACAATCATTTTATGTTTTATAACAGACCATTGGAATAAAATGAATGGCACTATTAGAAATATCGTAATTGTATAATACTACTAGTACTTAACCAAGTTTTCCCGTTATCAATTACCGGTTTTATACAAGTAGGTGTCTGATAATGGTTTTAAACGTCACCGTAGAAAAAATGTAATTAATATTTTTACAAATTTATGAAAACTTGAACGAATATTTAAGTCACTGGTTTAAAACTGCATTTACAACTTGATTGCGTAAACCTACACTGAAAAATAATTTTTTTCAATACCCAATAATAGTAAAGCTTATGACGGCCAATATGATAAAATGACACCAACTTGTTTCTACAAATTAATATTTTCCAAGCCGTGCATCCGCAATGCAACACCATGTTAAGTTATATAATCATTGTTCTGCTACAAGGTTAATAGAATATAAGTATTTACACTATTGTGTGGGGGCGACCGTGCGTGTGCTTCGACAATATAATACATTATGGTCTGCTGAACATTCGAGTTTCTCAATCCGAAAGCACCTCCTCCACGAAAATCAAATTGAACCGGTAAAAACAATAATGATGCGCCGGTATGAGCACTTGAAATCTTACGAAAAACACAATAATAATAACTCTGCAGGACGTTAAAAAATCGCGGAATCGATTGACAGTTACACTGCTAGTGTTAACCAATCCAACAATAGTTATTATGTTTCTCAACATAATACTAACAATTTTGTTGCACACAAAATAATAGTAATAATAACAACACGAAAAATATGAAAACTGTACATTCTCTGACAATTCGCAGCCTAGAAGCAAATCAAATACAATATGCGTGACATAGGTACGACAACGTTGTATTATTTTTATACAAGGAAATCAGTTTTAACATTCTGTGAAATGATGAAATTGATGTGAAACTACAACAATGTGTATAATAAAATGTATGATCATAGAGACAAGTTTACAGTTAAATTCGAACAATTATTACACATATTAGAACGTCAAGATACCTGGAGATTTTACAACGATCTTGCTCTCCAGCAAACTAAGGAAAATAATTATAAAAACACCGTAACTTGTTCTTCTGTACTATTTTCATTCGTTTGTCCTATACATAGTAGGTATTTCAATAACACAAGTTTTATGGGCCAGTGGATCGATAAATTTTGTGAGACTTATTTTAGTTTTCTAAATAAAAATTAATATGAACTAATAAACAATAAAACTTTATCAAAGTCGTCAAAGTAAATGCGAAAAAGTAAAGATAATACTTTCCTAACTGATTATAAAAGTAATGATACAATTATACTCGGATGACTTTATACCGAAAATACTTTCAGCAAATATCAAGTATACTCTCAGGTCAATTAGAAAATTGTCATATAAGCAAAAAAAAAACAATATATCTGATATAATTCCAGCTTTCGCTGAATGTTTTCTTAAGCCAACACTACTCAATCTGTAATACTGAATTTACTAGATTGGAAACAGCGTTTTCAAAGAAATTGTCCATAAAGCCAAAAAAAGTAATATTATTACTTATTGTATGACGATAATATTTCTAAACGTCCACTTTGATTGGTTACCCCCCAACTAGAAATCGCACAGTAATACGAAAGCGAAAATAACCATTTCCGGGCAACCGGTTTCTTCATTGAACAAATGATATTTGATCAATGATCATATCATATTAAATGAATTTATCTTATTAAAAATTAGCACTTAGAGGTCAATAACAAAAAAAAAAACATTTGTAATTGATAAATCAAAATTTAGAATTGATACAAAATTTACTCTTTGAACGTAATAGATCTTATCATTTATAAGACATATAACTAGGAAATAATTGTTTGGCAGCTATATTATGTGCAGCGCAACGGGTGCCGAAGCGTTTTCCTACTATGCTTGAAATCAGGGGATACTTTAAGTTAATAATAAGCGTAATAAAGTTCAATATAACTTATGTGCACCACATAATATGGTTTATTTTTAGTATTACGATTTAAATTCACCATTCTCATTTACATATTACTTTATAAGATGATGTAATTAATGAGCAAAGGTAAAAAACAAAAACCAAATCAATAATAAGTAAATCAAAATAATGCAATCCAGCATGCTAGGATTAAAAATATACAATGAATAAAATGATTAATAGACTCAATTGAATACGCGGGTATTTATATACACAAAAGCTATTTGAACTGAAACAAAGCTCTATTCTTGCATTTGTAAGCGTGTTTTGTGATATGATGTGTGTGCATATGGGGCAAATGATGAGCAAAGTAGCTTTAGGTGACAAACAAACGTAAGGCGAGGGAAATAGTAATAAATAATATTGTATGAAAAATTATACATAGATGCTGTGGTTGGTTGTGTTATACGTAGGTTTTTTGAAGTTGACCTTGATTCAATATTCAAAAGAAAATAATTATTAAACAAAACAAAACAAATAAATTGTAATTATATAGCTCGAATTAGTTGAAAGACCTTGAAGCTCTCCCGACATTTAACGTTAACTAGACGCCAAGGAGGTAACGGACCGTAAAGCGCATCATAATTTTTCTAGAGCCTCGATTAATATCGAACGTAGAGTATAGAAAAAAATGTTAGATCTTTAAAGCTTAGGCATAAAAATACATTACTGAATACAAGGTCAACCGCAAATAATAGACAATATCAGAAACATAATAGATTGAATTGATCGGTGTAGATCGCGATGTAGTCAATGGTTTTAGAGATTTCAAGAAATGATTATTGTGTTAACTATAATTTGGTTGTTTAAGTAGTTCAGTTAGGCAGAGGGTGTTTTATTGCATTTATTAAGTTCATAAGATGTCGTTCGGTATTAACGGGTAATATCGAGTATCATGCAATAAATCTACAAAAGGGAAAGAAGGTAGTAGTATATTTTGAAACTTAGTCAAAACATGTTTAAAAAAAAAAAACAAATTATTAGACTTACGGGTTTCGGTCGACTTGAGTCGCATCGCGTGTGAGTTTGGGGGTTTTTATTACAATTTACTTCAAAGAAGCAAACAAGCGCACATTGGAAAGCTAATTTGATTGACAATTAATTATAATATTTGGGTGATGATAGTGTAGTAGTGTGGAAAAATATATTTTACTTATAAATATGTATATATATTTTTTATTTTGTGCGTGAAAATGTCGTCAGAACACATGATATAAAAGCCTTCCACGAATTAATTTTTTTAGGATTTTCGTATCCAACTGTTAAGTATGTTGGCGAACCTCTTGCTGGGCCGTACCTTGGTATCGTCGGCCGTCTGAGATCCGACAGTGGTAACCTTCTCTTTTATAGAGTTGGACCGCTGTTGAGATTTCGTGCGGGCCATCCCGCCACCTCCACCCACGCTAGAATCCCGTCTTCCCCGTCTACTGTCCTGCAGAGAATCTTGTCGTCGTTGATATTTGCCGCTACCAATAGAATTTTGATGAACTTCACCTGATGATCGTCCGTTGGTTATTTTAATTGAATCTAAGTTACGAGGTAACGACTGATCTGATTTACTCTTGTTCCACGAAGGGTAAGGATCACGAGGTTCACGATATGAAGACGGAGGACGAGGCGAAGAAAATGCTTTAATTGGTATTTTGCTAGGCTGACTGTGATGTTGCTTGCTACGGGCTTGGTGTGCCGATTCAGTACTACTATTGTTTTCTTCATTTTGTTGAATATGATTTTGATGCATCGACGGTGTGGCTGGTAGCGCTAATTGAGGTAGTATGGGATTTGACGGCAAAAGATCTAACCATTGGCTTTTAGTTACTGAATTTCGACTGGAAGTTATCGTGGCTGCAGTTGTAGAGGTATTCCCTGGGGTATTAAGAGATGGAGACGTGTGAGAACTAGTTTTCTGAGGACTCAAATGTTGCTGCTGTTCTTGATGTAGTTGCAACAACCTCACTCGAGCCATGGTACCTTCGAGTTCAATTTGTTTTTCTTCCAACTAAAAAATAAAAATTTAAAAAAAAAACATAAATTTTCTAGTTAAAAGATTCTACTCACTTGAAATTTTAGTTCTTCGTTATCCTCTTTACTTCTATGTAGTTCGTTTGAAACATCATCTTTAGATTTACTCAAAGATTCTATTTGGCGAACTAAATTCTGTAAATATAATCAGATTTGTAATTTTTTTTTTTTTAATCAAGTAAATTATAGAATATTATTGTTTAATGTTGAACTCAAGGTAAACAAAATTTAATTAATCTTCTTATGTAATAAATCCATTTAGGTTACTTAGCATTAGTAAACGTTAAATTTCATCAAAAGATCAATTTTAATCATACACGGAGTTGAACGAAACCTTTGATGACCTACGTCATTGAAGCCGTATCACATAAGTTTAAAAATAACTATATATATAATATGTTATTTATTTAGATGAAGTTAACTGAAACAAATGAAATATAAGGGTTTTCTATTTTACCTTTCCAAAAGTCATAATAGAAATATAAAAAACATCATCGTATTTTATAACAAAAAACTCAAATATATTTAAATTGTGATGGCACTTTTATCACATTTTGATAATACGAGCCCGCGAATCAACATAATGACGCGCCAAATGACTGAGACTGTGTTTCTTATTGGCTAAGTAATCAAGTAAATATTATAGAATAACACGGTCATTTCAGATTTAAAATTTTTGGCAATAAGACTCGAAGGTTCATTCACCGGAAAGAACGTTTACACGACAAAGTGAAGATTAATACAAATCATAACAGTTTTTTTTTTATATTAAGTAACGTTTTAAAACAAATGTTGATACAATAAACCTACGCACTTAAACGATTTGAGATGCGTTCAATTTTAATAATATTAATATTGATTGCATGTTCTCACATTATACAAAAAGATATACAGTTAAACAGAATGTATCCTTAAGAAGTGCATAATCATTCCATTTCATTTAAGATAAACGAACTAACGCCTACAAAATTTAAAGAAACAAAAGAAAACAATATAGACCCTTACACATACAATAAGAGGATTGGTATAATAAATTATAATTGCGTAGGCGTTTACTACTAAATACACGCATATGGTAAAACTTGTGATAAATACGTTAATGTGGGTTCAAAATGAACATTCGTAGGATATCTGAACATCCGTTTCAATACAATGAGAGTCTTCTTTTAATTTGTGGGTGATTATGTTATAGATTGTCAACGTATTTATTTAGTATTATAACTTATTACATAATTAATCAGTAAGTACCATAGTACCTATATATGGTATTTCCATTCATAATGTAGTTTGTTTATTAAATAGCAATAAAATGAAATAATTTTAAAATAAATAACTACTTGAAAAATATCGAGAAATTTTTTTATTTCACTTGAAAAAATTATACGTGGAAATATTTAAGTTTTCTCATTTATTACTCTAATAATAAATTAGATGATTGTAAAAAGAGGATGACCAAATATTCAACATTTTAATTTTATGCACGTTTTCTATTAATTTCAACACTATATTTTTTGACTATTATTAGGATTTATGAGAATGACCTACATTTTATAATATATTTCTTACTTTATTTTCATAGGATATTGTGATGAGATGTCGCTGCAGTTCTATAGGATTGAACGTTTTTAATATAGCTGCCAGAGTTTGTTTTGGCAGAGGTGTACCTCCAGTAGACCTATTAAGTTTGTCAGCTGGGCTACTAACAATACCGTCTAAGGTACCTAGTCGTTTGGCATAAGTTGGTGAGCTAACGGTAGGATATACTGGCGATCTACATCCATCAAGATTTCTAGATATTGGATCCGATGGTCGTACCATCTCTACTAACTGTCTAGAACGGTCGTCCGTTTCATACGAACACTGTTTGCACAACTCAATGGAAGATAGATTAGTTGAATGTTGACTGAGGGTGTAATACGCATCCCTAGTACCCGATGAGCTTTGGTCAGTAGATTCGGGCTGTACAGGGGTGAAACCACCGTTATGACTAGAATTTCTAACAAGTTTTGACTGTTTTCCGCTACCACTAAGTCTTTCTTCGAGTTCTTTATTCTCACATACCACAGCCTTGAGTTCAGCGAGTAGCCGATGAATTTGCGCAGCATTCGACAAGCTCTCCGCCTCCATTTCGGTAACTCTATCCAACAGCGAATCTCGCTCCTCTTTAAGTTGGGTGACATGACTATGAAACACATTATAGTCATCAACAAAAGTCGGGGATTGTTGTACACGAGTAAGGTCTACTAAGCTTTTGCATTTTCGAAGTTGGAGATCGTTTCTACTAGTAGACTTTAAGAGTCTATCTTGCAGAAATTCGACATCTAACTTCAACTTAATGCCTTTATCTTGGATCAACTCAAGTAAGCTCCATAGCTCATCTTCATCTTTGTTTTTACGCGAGCTAGTCGAACTACTGTCTTTACTCTCCGTACAAAAACCGCTATCCTGCACGGTGCCCACTGACGTAGTCGTGGTTGGCTCTCCACTTTTTGGCCCTTTACCATGGCTATTACTACGACTTCGAGGTACTGTAGTAAGCCCACCACCTGCAATCCACCCAGATGATTGTGATGATGTAGATCCCAATTTACGCCGTACACGCACTCCAGGCTCCCACCGACTCTCCCCGGAACCAACGCCTTGCGATCCAGAGCTTGGTTCAGGACTGGATAGCTGTTTTTGGCGTAAGTGGGGAAACGTGTCCATGACAAGGTCCCTAAATTCCAACAACGCACCGACCTCATTCTGCAATTCCTGTAAAATTTTATTTACATAGTTGAAATGAATAAATTAATGATTTTTATTTTTTACTTTATTATTAATATTAATGATAATTATATTTAAACTTAATTTTATAAGTAATTATATCACATTTATAAAAATATTGATAGATTTGTTTTAATTAAAATTAAGAAGTATAATTTAGGATTATAATTTATAAAATAAAATAAATTATAGCTATATATTAAAATTAATTTTATATCAAAATACTATTCAACACCAATATTTTTGAAGCGAAGAAATTAGGATAATTTATAGTCTAAAACTTTGATAAAATTTTCATCCAATTATTAAAAATAGTTTATTATTAGACTGTTAAGATAAGAAATATACCTTAATAACGAATAATAGTAAAATAAACTTTAATACTATTTTTTTATAAAAGATAATACATATAATAGATGTTGGGGAATTAATAGCCTGGCTATATTAAAATTATATCAAAACATTAACTAAGATTACGTTAAAATTACTACAATAGTATTATGCTTCATAATTCTTATGAAAAAAGAATAGGATAGTAAAAATTATTAGATAATGGTCAAATTATTAAATTTAATTTTGATGTACAATTATTTTTTTAATTGGAAATCAGCACGCAGTATATTAGTGAAGTAAAGTTAATGGGGAACAATTAAGGTTTTGCAATATAATTACAAAGGTTTCTTAATGGCACTTTTGCATTGGAGGTTTTCAAATTATACAGAAAAATCAATTAAAATTAAGACGCTTATTTTCTTGGAAAGTATTAAAATTTTTAAATTGTTGTAAAAGTAAAAATTGTTTGATTTAAAAAACAATAATAATAGTTGTTATGCAGTTTTATTAGTTAAATATGAGTGATCTGATTCAATTTAACTAAATTTTAAATTATTATGACGATGTAAATGTCCTGGATTTTTATATATTAAAAAACAAGTATCATTTTGAGTAAATTGAAATGCTTTTATCCACAAAAAAAAAAGTTTATAATTAAACTGATATAATATTAATGTAACAATTCATGTTGTTTCTTTTTTTATTCGACTTAAATCAAAATGCAATTAAATAAAAGTGTTTTCTTTATTTGCTCTTTTTATGTTATTTTTATAAATAAATTTTAAATTAACTTAGCGTAATTTTTTTAGACTATCCTAAATTTGTAATTTTTTAAAGTTAATTTTATATATTTATTAACCTTATTAGTATGAATTATATTAGAAACTTTAGCTAATATTACATGAATGGAGAAATTCTTTAAGTAAAATTGGTACATTTAACAGAAAAAAACTTATGAAATTCAAATCTTTTAGTCATATAGCGTGTTATGAACACATGAATACTTAAATTGCTGTAGTACCAAAAAAAACTGTTATATGCTTTTATTACATTCTCCAACTGTTTTTTGTATGTCTAATAATAATGAGATAGTTGATTTCATAATACACGTTATATAACACATTATCATTAGTACCAGTTAAAAAAAAAATTAATGATTTTTTTAAAAGGATCTTCTAACCTGTAGAGCGAGGATAGACTTGGCTTGTTCGTTGATGAGATATTGAAAGGGTACGGCTTGAGCGGCGGGAGTTCGGTTATTGTGCTGGATGAGCTCGTCGCCACGGCAGTCCATCCCACAGGGGCTCGAGGCCCCTCAAAGTCTACGAAAAGATAAAAAACATATTTTTAGAAAATGAATATTATCAATAATAATACAATCGAAATAGGACATGAATAAACTGTTTACGATGCCAGTAATATAATATAGTTTAATATAAGTTTTCATCATAATTGTAATAGCTACAAGCTATTTATTAGTAATAAGATTCTTATTTCTTATATAAATTTAACCTAATATAAAAATATTATTCCTATTCAAAAATTTAATAGTTATTTAAAAAAAGTTTGAGGTAAAATGTTTTGGATGTTAACAATTAACATTGGTAATAGTTACATGTTTAGATATAAAGAACAATAATATTTAGACCACTTATCCTTTTACTTCATTTCAGCCCCTGGATAGTTGGTAATACGTGCAAATTTTCTTTAATGGGAGAAGATATTTCAAGTTTCTATGAGGAGGTCTTATTAACCTTTTTAATTTACATACATCGAAATTTATGAGCTAAAGATCAAGTTAGGAAATAATATGTTGCATCTTATAGATTTTTTTTGTGATTTATTGGAAATACAAGAAATATTGTTGCAAAGAATTACAATTACTATGTAATCAAAATTCAAGTTTCATTATTTTAAGCGATAATAATGACCATTACAATCGCAAATATTTATTATACGTATAATTTACATGACCTGAAAACAATTATGCATTGAAATTCAAATGTAATATTTTACGCCAATTTTTATATACATTTTTAATCTAAGATTTCTTACGAGACCTATTAATGAAAATCTTTCGGTATATATATTGTCTATGCTGAGAAACTGTACTTTTCGCTCTCTACTTGTTCCGGTGCTAATATTGCTCGAATCATTTGTCAGCAATTCGATACAGAGTAATCATTTTAAATGCATTTATAAAAACCGCTAAGTAATATCTATACATTAAGTACATAAACCCCATTATGAAAAACATTCCGGATTATGGTCTAATTTTGATGGCCATCGTTAAGACTAATGGGTTTTTTTTAATGATTTGGTAGCTCAGACAATCCAGAAATTTCGCGAGGATATTCTATTGGCCTTCTTCGTATAATTAACGAGTTAAATGTTATATTTTAAATTATCCAGTGCTGTAATATGAAATTCCTGACAACAACAAACATATTATAAATTGTATACATATGAAATGAATGTATAAACCGGTATCAGAACGAGGAGCCCTTCAAAAAACGACAGTCATAAGAACTAAACACGTTTACCTATGAATTCTCAACGATATACTAGAGATTGTATTGACTATTACATTTGATTTTACATGGCATACAAATTTTTTAGTTCATTAAAAAAAAATGAAACGAACAAGATGAACTACATAATAACATGTAAAATATACGTCATTTTCACTAATTAGATCATGAGAAAAAACTCATTGTGTAGTTTTTGTACAGTCGCATAGTTCCAAACTAACGTTTCTTATTTTAACTGACGCTAAGCAAGATGCATGACCTATATATTGTTTGATTTTTAAATAAAACCAGATAAAATAGTACAATTTTATCGATTTTTTTTTTTTGTGGATTTTATAGAAATTATTTAATTGTTCGATTAATATGAAAACAATTAATGATAAACCAAAAACCACGATTGTCATACATATAGGATATACTTATTTAGGAAGAATAATCATGTACATTAAACAATTAATTAACAAGTTGAACACTTATATTATATTATTTCAGGAAAATATTTAATAAGTTACATACTGAAATTAAAAAAAGTATAGGAATGGATAGCTAGCTATCTAATGGCTCGTTATGCTTGTTTGCGTGACCGCTTTAACATAAGTGGGACACTACGCCACTTCACTAATACTCACAGATTCACGGTACACAGTGTAAAATAACATAGTTTTTCATGATATTAAAATAAATGAAATAGTCACATATATAATTTAAAAATATACACTTTAAAGGAAATTTCAAATAATGATAATATATTATATTATCTACGTAATAATCTACGGCATTATTGACATAAATTATTAACGGATAAGGTTTGTGCGAGCAAAATAACAGGACAAAAACTGAGGCCAAATGAAATTCAATGCTTACAAATTAAATGTAATTGGTCGTGGTTGACCACGACAACGCCCAGCTTTTAAATTAATGGATTTATTTAACGTGAAATCAGCAAGAATAAGAAACAATCAATTAGAAAAAAAATCAAATCTTTATCTCCAAATGTTCTGTCGCCGTATAAAATCTTAAAACTATTCCTAAAGGAAGTTTATTATTTTTAACTAAAATAATCAGACGACCAAATGAAAATATGCATTTTTTAACAAGACAACAAGAGGGAAATTTCACAGAGAGTTGTAAATTATTAATTGGTCTCGGTCGGTGTGATGTGAAAATAGGCAACGTCGTTTATTCTTATGCAGTTACCACAATGAGCATTTACTAACACACCAAGGACAAAAACACAACCTCGTGTCACATTTAAATTTTTTTATTGCTTTCAATAATAACACGTGAAGTCCAGACGTGAAGCCAAATAAGTAGATGACACGCAGCGACTACAATTGTAGAATTTTAGAGCAAACAGTCTAATCATAAGGAGAACAGAACGTGTAAAATTAATAAACAATAAAAGTTGATTGTAGCTCCTAAATACTTGATACAATGTATACTATTTATAACTGTTCCAACTTAGCAAATATTACTAACCGATTTGATTAATTTTCTAACCCATTTCTTAACGGATTAGGTTCTCTGCACATTTAAGCAATTCTATTACAATAGTCACGTTTTTAAAAAATTCAACTCGGTGGAAATTTTTTTCATAGGGATGTATTATACAAAATTCTTATAATCAATCACCAATGGAATTGAAAGTTTTTATTCAATTAACATGAATACAAGATTTAGTAAAATTAGCATATAGGTACATATCGTTTAAAAAAGTGGCCGAAATCAGTTATCAGGTGGTGTTAAATCGTTATGTTATAATTATGTAAAGACGTGCTCACTATTTGAACCTTACAATAATAAGTGTAACCTTACCTAGGCAGGGATCAATTTTATTATAAAATTGCGTATGCATTATTTAGTAATTTTTTATTACGTCACAACAATTTTCAAAGAGTAAGTACCAAATAATAATACAAGCGCTACATATTTTATTAATAGTCCGATGGCGATAGATATTTGACAATATAATTCACTATGAGCCAAACGGCTAAAAAATATTACGTAAAGTAATGAAGGCTACTAACAATAATGAAACAGTTTCGGTGTATAAACTACAAATTATTAATACCTACCGCCAGCATCTAATCATGGACCTTTCACGAAACGTACAAAGTATAATTTACACGTAGGAGTCAAATTACACAAATAATTTTTTATTTGTCATCAATATACAAATTTAAATTCTTGTGGCTAATAATAATGAAAAAATTTAATATTTATTTTCTATACTCCTGAAATAAAGATATATTTTTTATGAAAAAGGTGAATAGATTTAATATCACTTTCTTCGCAAATAGTTCTTCACATACATGTAATGTATGTAATGAACATACATATATATTTTTATTGATTGTATCAGCTCGAAAAGCAGAAAATACATGTCAATATTTAGTATAAAAAAAAATAACTGTGGCAGAAAATGGCATCTTTCTTATATGAATTATAACATACATCTTGAAGACTTGTGATGACATAGAAATAACTATAATAAGAGTAATTAAATAATTATTTTGATTTCACATAGTTGAATACAACTCATTTTGTGCATAAGAGCGTTTAGTTAGTCACTTCCTTAACTGAAAATGACACTTAGATATTGATTGAGGGGTATTCCCTTGAGTAAGGTAATTCAACAGATATATAATATTTTTAGGAAATACATAACGTTATAATGGACAGAATCTTACATGTGAATTAGTCTCTATTGTAGTAATAATTTCTCGTTTCGCGGTATTTAAAACGAAAAATGTCATCAACAGATAATAATGTCATACAAGTTATTTTAAGAATTTCTTTTTAGCGTTGTAAACCAGGAAACTTTTAATTGTGTTTTGGACAGCAAGAAATCTTCAGTGCGTCAACAATATACAATGTATGAACAAGGCAATTCATAAACACCGAAGCGAAGTATGTGGTTCCATCACAGATTCATCTCTATTGAAGAACTGGAGATTTGATCAAATTAACACACGTACACAATGGCGGTAGTGTATATGAATGTGTTTTTCTATAAGGTTAAAATGATGAAGACAGGAAAAGATAACGGCGATGAACATAATTACCCGTACACGAGTAGAAAGCGAATTAAAAGAGCATAACGCAACCGTTTTATTTTAATTATTTCATACAGTGCGCTGGAATTTAGCAAAGGGTACTTGTAAATGATTTTCACTACAGCTCTTTCTACTCAGTCGACCACAAATTACTCATGTCATACGTGCGCATCATATACTAGCCGACATAAGTTAAACGAGAAGGTTGTTTTTCATATTACAATTTCATCGGGAAACACTATCGCCGACTTAGGGTGAAAGTCACATTATATTAGCATTAAGTATAGAAGATTAAAAACCAAAAAATGAAAGTCAATAAATCATTGCGGTGGTGCCATTGCATCAATGGGAAGACGACGATTCGCGAAGAGCAATTGTTTAGGAATTCTACAGCAAACATTAATACTTATGTATTTGATGTCGTAATGATATTTTAGTTACAGTCAACAAACTAATAAATCATGATGATAAGTTTTTTTTCTTCTGTAAGTAATTTGCATACTTGAGTAAATCCCAATATTCATTCACTATTCACAATATGTCCAAGGAAATGTTTGTTTTTGTAAATTCGATTACACTGCCTCTACCAATACCAAGACCAATGATCGATAAACAGATAACAGTTAAAAAAAAATGATTTATTTTTTTTTTGTTATTGCTAGAATTTGGTAAACTAAATGTTCATCGTACAATTAAGTGTAACCATCACACGATCGAGAGTTAACACTAAACATG